TGACCCCGCCCTACCCCAGGCACTGACCCTGGTGCTGACACCTATCCGCTCGCTCAAACCTAAAAGCTCTCTGCCACAGTCATTCCGACTCACAAGAACCCAATACGGGCAGCGTAGAACTGCCCCTGTGGGTTTCTGAGAGGGAAACTCTTTACAGGAGTAGAAAGCCTCATCTTTCACCCACGGGGAGGGAGGCTGGTGTATTTGAACTGCTTACTTTGTGGTTAGCAGCGCCACCTGAAACCACTATGCCACCTGGGCCCCCAGGGCGTGGCTTGGCGGGGGTGTCTCTAGCTTCACACCCAGACCAAATCCTAGAACAGAACTGTTTCCTGACTTCCGGACCAGCCCTGAGAGGCCTTCACCCAGACCTCCCCCTCAATCCCCGCCCCACTGGAGACAGCATCAAGGGAAAGGGGGGAAACCTTGGCCCGCCCTTAGCCTATGAGGTCTCCCTTTCTCAGAGGTCCACCCCTTCCCATAATCCAACATAAACTGCAGACCTGTCCCCACTTTGCTTCTCACCCCCACCCCTCACTCTCTGCCTGTTTTGCCTCCTCTCTGCCCGCAATCCATTCCCAGAGGGGTTTCGTGAGATCTGCCCAGCTGGCCCGGGCTACCACTACTCGGCTTCCGACCTCCGCTACAACACCAGACCCCTGAGCCAGGAGCCACCCCGCGTGGCCCTCAGCCAGCCTCGGCCCCCGTCGGCCACCTCTCGGCCACCTGCAGGTATTCTAACTTTCAGAAGAGGCACAGGGACGCTCTGAGACTGTGCCCTTATTCACCGAGAACCCTCCCTGACCAGGCTTTGTGTCCACACATCGCCCTGAGCTCCGGCCAGACCGCAGACCGGAGTCCCGACCAGAACACAGACCCGACCCGGGGCGCAGGCCCGAACTACAACCTGAATTCAGACCCGAGCCCCATCCAGACCGTAGACCAGAGCTGCGACCCGAATACAGACCTGATTCCCAGCCTGAACGCAGGCCCGAACCCCGACCGGGCCCTGAGCGGCCCCGGCCCAGCATCCCGGCCTGGCCTGGTCCTGAGACCTACGAGTCAGGTATGGTCTTTGGCCTCAAGGGGGTGGGGGTGAGGGTGTGGAGGTAGGTACACACACACACACACACACACACACACACACACACGGTGCTGAGGTAAAAGGACAGAACAAAGAGGCCTGTTCGATTCAGAATGGCTGGGAAGAGTTTTGAAGGTTTGGGGGTGGGGGGTGGATAAGAAGGTGAAGGACCAGCACCCAGGTCCGCTGTCCATTGGGCTCGGCCTTGAAACTCCCAGAGCCTCCGTTTTCTCTTCAGTGAAATGGAGTTAATTGTGAGGGGTCAGAGGTGCCCGGCACAACGGCCGGTGATCAAAGCTCACACCTGCAGCTATCGGGCATGTTTGACTCAGCGAGACCCTTCCTATAGGACAGAAGAGAGCTACAGGGGAGCTGGGAGGTGGTAGGGGTCAGAGGTGCAGACCTGAGGGCAGCCTGGATCACGGGACCCCCTAGGTCGCTCCATGTGTCAGCGTAACCCCCAAGTCTGCGGCCCGGGACGCTGCATCCCTCGGCCCAGCGGCCACACGTGCCTGTGTGACTCTGGCTTCCGGCTCAACGCCCAGGGCACCCACTGCCTAGGTGAGTGAGCTGCCTGAGCAGGTGGGCGGGGGTGGGGGAGGTGGAGAGGTTCTGCCCGGATATCCCCTGACCAGCACGCCCCCATGCCCTCAGATGTGGACGAATGTCGCCGCGTGCCCACGCCCTGCGCTCCCGGGCGCTGCGAGAACACCCCTGGAAACTTCCGATGCGTATGTGGCCCCGGTTTCCGAGCCGGCCCGCGGGGCACCGAATGCCTGGGTGAGAAGCCAGACCCGGCCTGCCGGCCCCAGCCTCCCCCCTTTCCTGTGTCCCTCCAGCCCTGCGACTGCCTCACCCCTCCCAAGTTCAAGGCACCACCCCCCAACAGCTCCAGGACCCGCTTGCCTGCTTTAGGAACCGCATCTTGGCCCGCACCTCCCCTGGGCCCCTCCCCACATACAACCACTGCAAACCACCTCCGGACCTCCACCTAATTCTACCCGGTGCCAGACTCTGCCTTTCTCTTTGACCAGTTTCCCTGCTGCCCCTCAAATCTGCCCTTCCCACCCTGGCCCTGCCTTGCTCTCTCCCATTTGCCCCTTTCATGCCCTCCCAACGCCCCCGCCCTGCTCCTAGCCTCCCTGGCTGCCTCTGGGCCTGCCTCATGCTGATGGCCGGGACCCAAGCTTGGACCCGGCCCAGGTGTCCCGTCATCTCTCTGGGGAGTGTCTGCCCAACCCCAGCCGCCCGCTTTGTGCCCGCAGACGTGGACGAGTGCCACCGTGCGCCGGCGCCCTGTGACCTCGGGCGCTGCGAGAACACACCAGGCAGCTTCCTGTGCGTGTGCCCCGCCGGGTACCAGGCCGCGCCCCACGGAGCCAGCTGCCAGGGTGAGGGCCTGGAAGGGCCGGAGCAGAAGGGGTGGTGGTGGTGGTGGTGGTGGAGCGACTGTGCCAGGGGGCTCAGGGCCACTGGCTGACGGCAGACAGATGTCCAGCTGGCAACGCCTGGTGGAGGCTGTTGTGGCAGCGCCATTATTATCGGGAGATGGGGCGGGGTGGTGGCAGAGAGTAAGGCTGAGGCTGGAGAAGTGGGGTGGGGGCTGGTGATACGGTGTTCCTCCGGAGGATGGCGGAGAAGGGGATGCAAAGCTGAGCAGTGAGGGGTGGGGGACAGGTATGGAAGGGTGGAGGATGGAGGGTCAGATTGCTGCCACTCTGGACCGGGAGCAGAAAGGAGGGAGGCGAGGCCGCACACAGAAGGATGGAGGAAGGAGAGGCAAACGTGATGGTATTCCAGGGGCAGGGGGGGAAGGGGGTGGCTAAGAGGAGACCCTTCTTCCCAGTAGATGTGGACGAGTGCTCGCAGAGCCCGGGCCTCTGTGGGCGAGGCGGCTGTGAGAACCTGCCCGGCTCTTTCCGATGCGTTTGCCCGGCTGGCTTCCGGGGCTCGGCGTGTGAGGAAGATGTGGATGAATGCGCTCAGCAGCCACCGCCCTGCGGGCCAGGCCGCTGCGACAACACAGCGGGTTCCTATCACTGTGCCTGCCCTGCAGGCTTCCGCTCCCAAGGGCCAGGGGCCCCCTGCCAAGGTGAGGATGCTGAATCCAACAGTGGACTGCAAAGTGGAGAGAGGCAGGGAGGCAAAGGGGTGGGGGCGAGGGGCCGGGAGAGGGCTCCCCATTGTCCCTCCTGTTTTGGATGGGACTTCTGCTTGTGGAAACCCTGATGGAGCAGGTGACTCTTGGGCAGGGACAGTGACCTGGAAGAGGGACAGTGGAGAGGTGAGGGAGGGGCTTAGCCTCCCAGGAGGAGAGAGGATTTGAGGACAAGCATGGGAGGCTGCTTTCAAACTGGACCATTAAGGGTGGGGGTGGGGTGGGGGAGTGGGTCCTCAACCCCACCACCCCTATGCCCCCAGATGTGGATGAGTGTGCCCGCCACCCTCCGCCCTGTGCCTATGGGCGATGTGAGAACACAGCAGGCAGCTTTGAGTGCGTCTGTCCAGCGGGCTTCCAACCCAACCCAGCGAGCTCCCAGTGTGAAGGTGAGGCCAAGGAGGGCGGCGTGGGGGTGGCTGAGGGGAAGGCTGGGGCTCTCCCTTCAAGGCCACCCTCTCCCCTGCCCCCCTAGATGTGAATGAGTGTGAGAACCACCTGGCTTGCCCTGGACAGGAATGTGTGAACTCTCCTGGCTCCTTCCAGTGCAAGGCCTGCCCAGTGGGCCACCACCTGCACCATGGCCGATGCACTGGTGAGACATGCCCCCTGGCCTTGAGGGTGCCATCTCACTCGGTCCTCCAAAGCAAAACAGCTTCCTGCCATTGAGTCAATCGGAGTCGTAGCCACCCGAGAGGACTAGAGCCGCCCCTTTGGGTTTCTGAGACGGTCGGTCTCTAGGGGAGCGGAGAGCCTCATCTTTCTCCTGTGGGGCCGCTGGTGGTTTCAAACTACTGGCCTTAGCAGTCCAGCTCAAAACCCACCACACTCCCAGAGCTCCTCCTTCTCCTTAGGGCGGCCACGCTCAAAGGCCGAACCAAGCCCACTACCCTGGAATCCATTCGGATCCATCGTGACTCCCACTTTGAGGGAGCAGCCTGACTCATTGGTCTCCTGCAGTGCGCCCGCTGGGCTCACACTGCGCTGACCATGAGGCGTGTGTAGTCCACTGCACTACCTCTGTATTCCAGGAGCCCTGAAATCGACGGTGACATGTGACCCTGTGACATGTGACAGGTGCCAACCCTGACCACAGTTATAACCCTCCTGACCTCTCTGTCTCCTGGCCCTGGATGTGACCTGTCACCCCCAAACTGTGATCTTTGACCCTAACCTGACCATTGACCTTAACCCTGACCATAACCACAACCCCGAGTCTGTGGTCCCTGATTTTATCTCTCTCACTGACCCGTCGTCTTCTCAGAGTTCCTTCCCTGGCATCGGATTGGGTTCATGCCCTCTGCCCTCTGATGTCAAGCACGATTCTGGATCCTGATGGTTAACTCTAGACCCTAACTGACTGATCTGTGATTACAATCACAGTCCAATAGCCCTGGTCTACACTGCCTCGCCCCTGAGTAATTTCTGACCCTTGTCCCAATCTAGTAGGAGCATTGGTGGTGAAGTGCTTACTCATTGGGCTGCCAACCTCAAGGTCAGCAGTTCAAAACCACCAGCTTCTCACAGTAGAAGGAAGAGGCTTTCTGTTCCTGTAAAGAGTTACAGTCTCAGAAACACACAGGGGGTAGTAGTTCTGCCTTGCTCTGTAGCGTGGATATGAATTGGTGTGGACTCCATGAGAGTGGGTTTGGTTTGGGGTTTGGGCCCCGATCCAGAATCCCATCCCCTGACCTCTGGATTATGGCTCACAGAGTTCCCAGAAACTCAACCCCCCCGGGGCTCTCAATCAGGACCCCAAGACAAGGTGTCTGGTCTCTTTCTCCCCACCCCACCCCCGACCCCCACAGAGCCCTTTGCCCCAAGGGGATCCATCTGGCTAGCGTGTTCCCAGATAAACCTTCTGCTGAAATAAATGCCGCCTCCCACAGATGTGGATGAATGCAGCTCTGGCGCTCCCTGTGGACCCCAGGGACACTGCACCAACACAGACGGCTCCTTCCACTGCAGCTGCGCCCCGGGCTACCGGGCCCCTGCCGGTCGGCCAGGACCCTGTGCAGGTGGGCAGGGTGTGGGTGGTGCCCTAAGGTCTGGGAGACCGGCTTGGATGAAGTCTTCTCCCTAATCCACTGCCCCTGAGTTCATTCTGACTCCTAGCGACCCTAGTGTGGCACACCCAAACTGCTCCTAAGAGTTTCCAAGACAAATCTCTAGAGAGCCCACGGCCACCACTCCCTTCCACAGTGAAAACGGTGGGTTTGAACCACAGGCCTTAGCAGAGCTCCTTAAAAGTCGACTCCGAGGAAGCCCACGCTCACCTAGGAGGCAGTGGGTGGAGCTTGGAAGCAGGCTCGCTGGGGTAGGGTTTGTGGAAGGGGCTCCTGCTTTGGGGCACAGGCCCAGTGACCCCACCCCTCCCACGTCCCAGATGTGAACGAGTGTCTGGAGGGCGACTTCTGCTTCCCGCACGGAGAATGTCTCAACACGGACGGCTCCTTTGCCTGTACCTGTGCCCCGGGCTACCGGCCGGGACCCCGCGGGGCCTCCTGCCTGGGTCAGTACCCGGGCCCTAAGCCCCGCCCCGCGAGCCTGGGGCTTGCAGGAGCTGGGCCGTCCTCCGGGGGGCGGGGCAAAGCGGCGGGCGGTGATAGGCGGCCGGCCGTCGAGGGGCGGGGCCGCAGGCAGGCGGGGGCGGGGTCAAGGGCCCTGGAGCTGGGCCGTGGGGTCCCGCGGTGGGAGGCGGAGGCGCGTGCCCGGGACGTTCCACGCGGGTGTCCCGCAGACGTGGACGAGTGCAGCGAGGAGGACCTTTGCCAGAGCGGGATCTGTACCAACACCGAGGGCTCCTTCGAGTGCGTCTGTCCTCCCGGCCACCGCGCCAGCCCGGACCTCGCCTCGTGCCTGGGTGAGAGGCCCCACCGGGCACTAGGCCCGGCGACCTCCTGAGCTGCCACCTCCCTGGCCTGTAATTGCCCCCCCTTCAGCTCCCCATGTCTGCACCCTCTAACGACCCCTCTCCCCATCGGCCCCCCCAGATGTGGATGAATGCCGGGAGCGGGGCTCGGCCCTGTGCGGGTCCCAGCGCTGCGAGAACTCCCCCGGGTCCTACCGATGTGTCCGGGACTGCGACCCTGGCTACCACGCGGGCCCCGAGGGCACCTGTGACGGTGAGGATCCTGCCCCGCGGGGGCCCCTGCCCGGCATGGCATCTCATCGTGTCTCCACGGCGGCTATCAGCCACTCCTGTGTGCTTGTATCTCGTGTGTGGTGTGTGTGTGTGTGTGTGTAGTGGCCGGCGAGGGCAGGCCTCGGAGGAGCCAGATGAACGTTGCTTTCCAGCGCAGTCCGCAGTCCGGGTGTTACCAGGGGACTTCAGAAAGTTTCCGGATGAAGTCCATAACCTTTTTTGTTTGTTTGTTTCCTGATCTTTTCATTGGTTTTTCCCCCCACCAATTTTTTGAAGTCCTTGGCTTAGCCTAATACACTTACAAAGAGGAAACGTGTTAGGCCCCGCCCCTTCCAGCCGTCTGTCTTAGTTGGACAGGTGGGGGGCCCCACCCCCCATCACAACTCATCTTGCTTCCAGTTGTCCCTCCAAGCTCCAACCCAAGCCCCCTTCCCATTATTCTTTTTTTTATTTAATCATTTTATTGGGGTTCGTACCACTCAACTCTTATCACAATCCATACATCAAATGAATCGGGCATGTTTGTACATATGTTGCCCATTGTCTTCTAGACATTTACTTTCTATTGAGCCCTCAGTACCAGCTTTTTTCCCCTTCCCTCTTCCCGCCCCACCCCCTTCCCATTCTTAAAGCGAATCCCCCACACACACTTTGCCCCTAAAGTCCAGCCTTTTCACGTCCCATTCATGCAGAGGCCACACCCCTTCTCCAACTTCTGACCCTCCTCCAGACCCTGCGGCTAGCTGCCTCTTTCCCGGACTATCCAGCTCACTGCAGGCCACAGTTGGGCACTGAGACGACAGGCTGCGAGTCATTGGAGAGCTTTGGGGTTGGCGTTTTGTGGAAGAAATGACACAAAACAGTGGTGGCCTGTGCTTGGTGCTCTGGTTGACCCATAGTGTCTCTGTCCTTAAATCACAACGATTCCGTAAGCACCTACTGTGTGCAGGGCACTGGGGGGATACGACAGGACCCAACTCCAGCAGAAACCCCTGTCTTCCTGGAGGTACCATTCTGGGTGGAGCCAGGCAGCAGTGAAGGCAGCCGTCTGAGAGTTGGGGGGAGCAGGCACTGTCCTAGTCCCAGGCACTAGTGCTCGGGACAAGACGGACAGAAACCCCTGCTGTGGAAACGTGTGTGTTCTAGTGGGGGCGATCGGGGGCGATGGTGGGCCTACCAATACCAATGTGAACACAGGCAGAGCAGTAGCTTCAAGACGGACAACAGAGCAAGGTAAGGGGATGGAGTTGGCAGGGCAGTTGTGTGTATGTGTCCGTGTGGGGGTGCTGGCAGGACTTGACCTGAGCCCTGTGAATGAGGAGAGCCAGGTGACTGGAAGCTGAGGGAAGAGGGTTGGGGCCCAGGGAATAGCCAGTGCATAGGCCTCACCGTGGAACCAGGTTTGGGCTGTAGGAGAAATAGCCACAGTGTTTTCAGCACCTATTCATCTGTAGTCGCTTGGAGTTCTAGAACATTCTGTGCACGGAGACTTTTAAGGCTGGGAACTAGAATCGGGGTCCAGCACCTGTGAATCCAGGCTGGTAACTGGGTGCCCCGACCCCTGACCCCCATCCACTCTCTTGCAGATGTAGACGAATGTCAAGAATACGGCCCCATGATTTGCGGAGCCCAGCGCTGCGAGAACACCCCTGGCTCATACCGGTGCACGCCAGCCTGCGACCCGGGCTATCAGCCCACCCCAGGGGGCGGGTGCCAGGGTGGGTGGCCCATGGGAGCTGGCTGGGTGGGTGGGGTGGGGCAAGAGCGGGCCCAGCACTGGCCTGACTGTCTGACGGTTGCAGATGTGGACGAGTGCCGGAACCGATCCTTCTGCGGGGCCCACGCCACGTGTCAGAACCTGCCGGGCTCCTTCCAGTGCTTCTGTGACCAGGGCTACGAGGGGGCACGGGACGGGCGTCACTGCGTGGGTACGGGGCTCCAGAGGGCGGGTGGAACAAGACAGTGGGGGTGGGGGTGGGGTTGGCCCTGCCCTGCTCCTCTCCACCTCTCCATCACTGAGTCTACGCCTACTCATAGAGAAGCTATAGGGCAGAGAGAACTGCCAGGTGGGTGGCCACGGCTCTTAACTCTTCACGGGAGGTAGACAGCCTCAGCTTTTTCTTAAGGAGAGGCCGGTGGATTTAAACCGCTGACTCTTGTGTGGTTAGCAGCCCAGAAACTCACTACAGCAGCAGAGCGCCTGTCCCTCTCCACAGACCTGGACAGACCGGAGCTTGAGGGTTATGGCCTTTGGACCTTGGACTAGAAGATCCTCCCCTTATTTACCAGGATCCTCTGGTTGCAAGTGACAGAAGCCCTGCTGGCTTTCTGGTTTGGGTGCTTTAAAGAAGAAACAAAACAAAACCTTAACGTTGTATTCCCAGAGTACATCAAGGAGCCCTGTCAGTGCTCTGCGGTAAGCACTGGGCTGCTAACTAACCACAAGGTTGGCGGTTCCAACCCACCCACCGTCTGAAGGGAGAATGCTGAGACGGGCTGCTCCCGTCTAGATTGACAGTCTCAGAGACCCTACGGAGCCTTCTACCCTGATCGAGAGCAGTGCTATGAGGGGACACCGACTTAATGGTGGTGGGTTGGTTTGTGGTGGGTTTTAAGTGGATGCAAACAGCTTCTATGGATCCCGAGGAAAAACATTTTTTAAGCGGATAGCAAATGGAAAGTACTGTAGACGGGATGCCTGTCGACCCTGAACTTGGTGCTGTTGTTGTTGCGTGCGTTGAGACCGTTGGACTCCTAGGGACTTCGTCTACAACAGAGCTAACGCGGCCCGGGCCTGCGCCAGCCTCACCATTGTCCTTATGCTGGAGCCGGTTGCTGCAGCCAGTGTGTCCATCCGTCTGTCCGGGGCCTGCCTCTTTTTCGCTTCCCCTCCACTTTACCAAGCACGATGTCCTTCTTCAGGGACTGGTCTCTGCTGGCAACGTGTCTGTCCCAAGTCTAAGACGAATCTCCCCATCCTTGCTTTGAAGGAGCATTCTGGCCGGACTTCTTCCGAGATGGACCTGTTTGTTCTGGGTCTTTTCCAGCATCTTCACCAGCACCATCACTCAAGTGCCCTGAGGCTGCATCCGGCTTCTTTCTTCAGGGTCCAACTTTCACATGCGTGTGAGGTCACTGAAAATACCTAGGCTTAAAAAAGAGAAGGAACGAAAGAAACTGCCAAGGCTTGGGTCAGGCATGCCTTCCTCCTCGAAGTCCTTGCTTGTCAGCACTTGAAAGAGGTTTTGTGTGGCCGTGTTGCAGATTTACCCAATGCCTTGTGGCATCTGATCTCTTGACTCCTGCTTCCCTGAGCACTGGTTGTGGATCCAGGCAAGACGAGTGCTTGACCGCTTCAGTCCTTTCTCCAGTGATCATGGGCCAGTTGTGAGCAGTGTGGTCTTTACATTGAGTTGTGATCCACTCTGAGGACTGCTAGATTCTATTCATATCAGATTACTGGCTTCCAGGAGCCCTGGTAGCACAGGGGTTAAGTGCTGTGCTGTGAACCAGCAGGTTGATGGTTCGAATCCGCCAGCGGGTCTGTGGGAGAAACGACGTGGCAGCCTGCTCCTGTAGACAATACCATCTAGGAAACCCTCCGGAGCCACCACTCTTCTCTGTGGTCTGTGGGTCCGTATCAGCTGGATGACACGACAACCACCATGGACTGGGAGCCCTGGTGGTGTAGTGGTTATGCATTGGGCTGCTAACCACAAGGTCAGCAGTTCAAAACCACCAGCTGCTCCGCAGGATAAACACAAAGCTTTCAGCTCCCATAATGAGTTAGCGTCTCAGAAACCCACAGGGTTCCATTCCACTCTATTCCTAGGGTCCCTCGGAGTCCAAATGGCCTCAGGGATAGTAGGTTAGGTATCGCAGAAGCTGAGAAATGCAGTTATCTGACTGGCTGTGTGCCCACTCCCAGGAATAGTGTCAGCACAAACCAAACCTGAACTGGAGGGGCCATAGGGCCCCAGGGGAAATGCAGGGTGCAGGGGGGGTGGGGGTAGCAGATGGAATGTGGCCATTCACCAACACCCAGCACAGTCAAGCAGCCATTGATTGAGAACCACCGCTTCCCTCTCCCCATTGTCTCCTCACAGATGTGAACGAGTGTGAGACCCTGCAGGGCGTGTGCGGCGCTGCCCTGTGTGAGAATGTGGAGGGCTCCTTCCTCTGCGTCTGCCCCACCAGCCCGGAGGAGTTCGACCCCATGACTGGACGCTGTGTTCCCCCTCGGACTTCTGCCGGTGAGATGGACGCCAGTGTTCACTGAACTGATGACCGCTGGCCCTATGGGGAAAGGACGTGGTTGAACAACCTGTGACCTGGCCATCAGGTTGATGTGATTGTCAGTAAGGACAGAAACCTTTAGACAAGGCCCTGGGACTGTCAGGAGAACTAGCCCCTGGCCCTGCCTCAATCAGGTGTCTTCATTGTAACCAATGGTCACAGGGAATCCATAACCCACTGCTTTCAGGGCACAGAGCTGTGACCGGCCACACCCTCTTCTCAAAGCTGCCCCAATTCAGTGGTGGCCCAGTCAGGGATGGAGCAAGTGCAGGCCAGAGGGGACGGAGCTGAGATGGGGACGCCCAGAGGCTTGGGGATCCAGAGGAGTGCTGGAGGGCTGCCCTAGGGAGCGGTGTCTGAACTAGGGGCAGTAGGTTGTGTAGACATGAGCCAGGCCGAGTAGGTGAGGGAGGGCATTCTGGGAAGAGGCCAGGCCAGGCAAGAGGGTACCTGACATGCTTGAGAAAGGATCATGAGCTCTGGTCACCTGATTGGGAGCGTGCAGGGAGGAAGTGGGGTGGAGTGCAGGCAGGTAGCTGGAGGAGGACGCAGGGTTAAGCAGATCTCACCAGCACTTGTGTGGCCCACATAGTGGGCGTTGTTCCAGGACACTGGCACTCTGGCAGGGTCTTAAGCAGGAGAGGAGTAGAATGAGTTCTGAAGTGTCCCTCTGTCAAGGGTGATCGAGGAGTGACAGTGGATGTAAGGAGCCTGAGGAGGAGACTGGGCAGGAGAGGGTAGGGCTGGAGGCAGGCAGGGGCTGAGGGAACTGGGGAGAGAATGGGTGTGGGTGGGCTGTGGGGTGGCCAGGCGAGGGTGGTGGAAACACCAGAGAGGCATCCAGGAGGCTGCACTGATGGGGGGACGTGGCTGGGACAGCGTGAGGTGGGGAGGCAGGAGATGGAGAAGTGGCCGGGGCGGCAAGGAGGAGAAAGAGGGACAGTGACCCCCAGAGGGAGGGGGGAGATGCAGGCTTCTGAGCCGGGCTCTGCCACTGGCAGACGAGCGGGTGCCCTCTGACCCTGTAACACCGAGGCTGGGCAATCAGCCCTCACGGGGCTAAGTCAACCCCCTTTTCTCTGCAGGCGTGTTCCCAGGCTCACAGCCCCACGCACCTGCCAGCCCCCACCTGCCAGCCAGGCCACCACCACCACCCCGCCGGCCCAGTGCCCCGCGGCAGGGTCCTGTGGGCAGCGGGCGCCGGGAGTGCTACTTCGACACCGCGGCCCCAGATGCATGTGACAACATCCTGGCGTGGAACGTGACGTGGCAGGAATGCTGTTGCACTGTGGGCGAGGGCTGGGGCAGTGGCTGCCGCATCCAGCAGTGCCCCGGCACCGAGACAGGTGGGCACGGGCTGATGGGTGAGCACAGAACCAGGGCTGGAATAAGGGATGTGGGAGCCTAAATCCAGACGATGGCACCTTCTCCTTTGCTTCCGTATTCCAATGGGATGTGTGTTATAGGTATGAGTGTGTGCGTGTGCGTGTACACGTGCATGTGTCTTAGCTGTCCTTGATGTTCTTTCTTTCTAAATGGGACTAGGAGTCAAGATTGAACACATCAGTGGCATATGCCAGTTAAGCAGAATGATGAGTGGATTATAGCAATTTCAGTGGACACGAGGGGCTAAAACCTTGACAGTAAACTGCCATTGAGTCAGTGCCAACTCATTGCGACTCCCCTGTACGTTTCTAAGAGTGTAACTGTTTACTGGAGTAGATAGCCCAGTCTTTCTCCTGCAGAGCTGCTGCTGGTTTCAAACTGCCAACCCTGTGGATCACAGCCAAATGCATAACCACTACACTGTGACCAGGGCTCCTAAGACTTTGCCCATAGACCACACATCCCACATGAAATACAGTGATCCAGTGAAACTCAGTTCTCGCAATATGCTGCGTAAGGTTCTGTCGACGGCCCCTCTCCCCAACATAAAAACGGGACTTTTCTCTGATTTTACTTTAAACGGCCCCTCACTTCCATTTTGAGGCTTGTTTTGCAATGAATGTGATAGCTAGCATTTAAACTTTTTATTTTATTTTTTATTAAAAGATCATTTTATTGGGGACTCTTACAGCTCTTCTGACAATCCATGCATCAGGTATATCAAGCACATTTGTACCAATGTTGCCAATTCAAACCCACCCACCCCCACTGTTAATAGAGCCCCACCTGGTTTCAAACTGCTGACCTTGTGGTTAACAGCCCAACTCGTAATCATTACACCACTAGGGCTCTTAGTAGAACCCCACCTGGATGGAGACTTTCCGTTACCTGGAAGGACACCGTCAGGGAAAGATGTCAAAAAAAAAAAAAATGCGTTGATGCGCTAGGGGCCTCCTGGCTTAAGCAACCTGTTTAACCTGTGGGTGCCCTTGTGACCACGCATGAACTGTACTTCTGGCGTCCATTTCCTGGGGCGCTCTGCCAGGTCCTTCCTGCCTGCTTGCTTTGTCCTGTCGGCTTGACATCTATGGTCTTTGCTTTGGACAACTCGCCCCCACCCCCACCCCATTTTGTTGGTGCCCTGAGCACACGCTTACCTTGCCTAATGGGTAATCTGTTTCTATCCTGGAGTAAGGGCTTGAGCAGAGATGGGTAGGCATTGGGGCTGGGGCAGGAGGGGGGGGGGCACATTTGGACATAAGTGCTGACAGGGCAAGAGTCAGCTGCCAGGCAGGTGAATGTGGGCAGGTTTGAGCTGAGCGCTGGTCATACCCAGGCACGTGTCTGAGGCCTGGGTGGTGGGTGGGCATGGGGCCTGGGTAATCCCGGTGGGTGTGAGCCTAGGGCAGGGCTGGCACACGGTGTCTGAGTGCAGCCTTGTCTCTGTGCTCAGCTGAGTACCAGTCTCTGTGCCCGCACGGCCGGGGCTACCTGGCACCCAGTGGAGACCCGAACCTTCGGAGAGGTGAGGCCACATTTGAACTTTCCCCTCCCCTCCGCCTCACCCTGGCTCTATCTCCGTTTTCTTTCTCGCTGTCCATCACCCTGTTTCTAACTGCCCGTCCCCTCGGGGAGGTGGGGGCCACACCTCGGTGGTGGGGGCTCTTCCTTATTTCTGCTTCTCCCCAGCCTGGTCAAGCCCCGCCTTCCCACCCTCTCCG